ATGAACATTGCTCAACATCATGAAAATTAAACCTTATTTTCAATAAGCAATCCTGAAAAATATTTGGGGGTGCTTAACTTTTTTCCAGGTGTATATATATACTGTGGTTTGTAATTCACTTCAATCATTTTATCCTGTCAACATATGCTTTTGTAAATATTTAAGTGAAATATACTGTTTTGGCTAAGAAAGCTGACAGAAGTCACTAAAATTTGTTTAAACCAATTTCAGACAATTTGATCATAGTTCATGATTGTTTTATTACAGTTTTGGAAGAGAAACTTATTCATAATGGCAAAAATGCAGCATTGTGGGGATAGACAATGTAGGAAACAAGGTTCAAGCACACTCTGGATGTTATTCACCCATAAAAAAACAAAATCTTAAATTTCTTACTTCATTACATTATCTTCAATAGCTTTCACTTTTAGAACAGTACTAACAAGGTTAAGTGCCTCATGTAGTTTTCTCCATATTCTTAGTTTACCATCAATATAAAAAATGGCAAAATATGACTCTTTTGATCCCAGGGTGCATCCTGGAATTTGAAAGGGGGAGAGCAAAATCTTAAAATTCATACTTGCATATAATTTCTATTTATTTTTATAATTTAAATATAATTTAAAACTTTATTATTTCCTTTACATTGGTTAAATGAGTGTTATAGCATGAGCATTTTAAGGTGTGAGATATGAGATCTTGAATTACTAGCTGCAGGTAGGTACAGACAAAATTTACCTTAAAAACACAATGAAGATGGATCAGCAAGTTTATTCAGAAAATAATTACAACTTTCAGGTTCAGTACAGACAGAATTTACCTTAAAATAATGTAATAAGTTGAAGCTAAAGACCATAAAACTGCGAAAATTTACATAGTGAAATTAGGAATTGCAGGGAAATGCAGCCAAAGGGGGGCATGGCCTGTTTATATCAGAAATGAGGTATTTCCAAAAGGTTTCTGGCTGTCAAAAAGATCAGTTTTTGTAATTTCTCAGATATATTATGATTGAATCCTGACCACTATTTAAGATATTAAACATTTTTCTGATGACTGTTATACTTTAAAAGTCTGTCCAGTTATCTTTTGTTTTTGTCAAACACTAGAAGTTGATGAACAGTTTTTCCTGGTGGTAGATGTACACTTTATTAACTGCTACTTATTATTGACTTTTATACTTTAAAAGTCTGTCCAGTTATCTTTTGTTTTTGTCAAACACTAGAAGTTGATGACCAGTTTTTCCTAGTGGTAGATGTACACTTTATTAACTGCTACTTATTATTGACTTTTATTACAGATTTCTTTGAACAATTGGTAAGAGAAACGATCTTTGATAACAATGCCCTGATAGATAGCACCCACTTTGTTCTTTATAAAGTCAGAAATGTTTTTTCTACCCATTGTCAGGCATATTAACTTTAGTATAACAACATCTCTGTGTTCATTAAGTCATCTAAAACTTGACACGTCACATGATCAGTCTATTTTGTATATCTAAACAAATGGTGTATTCTACTAATGTATGTGCAGGGAGGGAAATGTAAAACATTATAGTAATGGAACAGATTCAGGGAAAAAGTTATGTGTTCTGCAGTACATTGTTTTCTTTTTAGGAATTGTTGGTCCAAAAGGCTTCACGGGGTTGAATGGCTTAGATGGTCGTAGAGGATCTCCTGGTAGAAATGGAACTTACCCTCGTGGAGAAACAGGAAGGAAAGGATATCCAGGTATAGATGGTGATAATGGGCTACCTGGAATCCCTGGATTTCCAGGAATTAGAGGACTACAAGGTCCAGACGGCCCTCCAGGGTTAAAGGTAGAAATAAAGAATGATAACTTCCTATGTGCCTCTAGTGTTCTTGTGTGTTTAGAAACAACAATAATGTATGTTTTCAGAATTGTTCTCATTATATTGATTGCTTTATTGAAATTAGGTGGTGGTTCACTTCTTAGTATTTTTTATAACTATTTAACTTTTTATGTGATGTATACATCTATTTATTTAAGTGGAAATATTATTTGATGATCCTGATTTTAGAATGTAAGAGTATTTTGTGAATGTTTAGGTGAAATACCTTAGAAAAGTTGCACATAAAAGGTTTCCCAGTGGTCAACTATACGTTTACAGACTTAAAATGCTAAAATCTGTGGTGGACAAAGTGCAGGTAGCTCATTGTGTATCTTTGCACTAAAACGACAAGATAAATAGCACATAAAGTAAAGCAAGAAAATTGATAAAAAGTTCAAACACGTAATGCTAGGTTTATGTTTTAGTCCAGGAATTTAGTGAATATGTTTGGAAATGGTTGTTTGCTTTGGCAATAAAGACTTTCATGTGTCTGGTAGAGAAATTACAATTTGTTGGTTAACAAAGTAAATTTATCAGCAAAATCAAAACTTGTTTGACAATGTTTTCTACTGAAAGATGGCTTAAACACTATTTTTTCAATAATAATTGGAATGTAATATTACATATGTGAGAAAACATGCTAAGTAATACAATACTTACTTAAGTTATAAAAATAAAGATTACATCGCTAAACTTCAAAATGATTGAAATATATGATTATTCTAAGATTTTTACCTGGGATTTTTTCTATTATACAAGTCAGTAAACTGTCATAAAACAGGTTATTTTTTTTTAGTATTAGAAATAATAATAAATCATCAATGAAAAGTTCAAAAGAGAGGCAATGACTACTGATTAAAGATTATATGCACTCATCTTCATTAAAACTCAAATTATACAGACACCACAGAGATTCCACATAATAGCTTAAGCATTGATAATTTCAGTTTAATAAAGATAAATTTCAGTAATAATGGAAAAAAAAAAATAAGCAATGAAACAAGCATGTCGAGTCAATTTTTAAAGCATCAAAAGCTTCCTCTAACAGATTATATCATACAGAAGTGTGCAAAACTGCTAACTTATGCATGGGTTTTCATAGGGCCAATGTAGTAAAGTTATTAAAAAATGTATATATTGGTCTTCATTTAGTGGGTGATGATGAATTTATAAAACTTTTAGGGAATGCAAGGGTCACCTGGAGATGAGGGAATAGAAGGCCCTCGTGGTTTACGTGGACCTCCTGGTCGGCAAGGTGATCAAGGGGATTATGGGACATCTGGATTTTATGGACAGTCTGGTGAATCTGGCCAAGTAGGAGATCCAGGACCTAAGGGTAGGATACTTAGTTATGAAGTGCTCTATACTTCCATAATTTGTTCTGTTTTAGCTATATACTACAATAGAAATTCAATAAAAAAACAAACCAAATATAGTACAGGTAAGTTATGAAATAAAGCTACACATGTATCTATTTATTACTCCATGTCATGTTAAATGAATAACGATTGATTTTTTCCTTAGAATAACATAGTTTTTCAGAAAATATATACTAAAAATTCAAACAAGATTTGTAGGTTTTATTGATATGTAGCACTTCAGTTTTTCAGTCTTCAAAAACAGGTATTTAGCAATTAAAAGCTATAAAAAAGTCTTGGATTTGCTTAGTTAATTTATTTTGAAACAGTAGAAATAACTTGCATTGGCTGAAAATTTAGACGAAGGATTACTACTTTGTAAAAAAAAAAAACTGTTTTAGGATATTTTAAAGCATGGTGTTGGGATATGTTTATTATATTGTATATGTGCTAGACTGATAAATTAAGTAGTTGTAATAGTGGTCCTGAACACTTTAATCTTTTTAAAAGGCTCACCTGGGCAGGAAGGATTCCCTGGTTTGAAAGGAGAGAAAGGAATTCCTGGTGTTGCTGGAATTGGTACTGTTGGTGCTCCAGGAAAGCCTGGACTCAGAGGGTTTGATGGTAAGAATGGATTTTTAGATAGAATGTGGATCTGCTGAGTGTAGCATACTTCAAACAGTGGTATTTAATTTCAAAAATAGATATTTTAAATTTATAGAACTGTGATTGAAAACTACACATTAAAAACATATAGATTTTTTTCATACTGTTTTTTGTTTTGCTTGTTTATACAATTACAACAATAAGTAATTATGCAATAATTCTTACTTTCTTACTTGAATATTTCAGATAATTACTTGTGTGCAATTATTTATTTATCAAATGAAATCAAAAGAGAAATATTTTAAGACTTTCATGCTTTTACAAGAACCTGATTATTACTGAGACTGTGTTTTCAATCAGATTTTCTTCTTTTCACTGGCAAGTTGTGATTTCCTACTATTATGTAGGTCCAAGAGGACAAAAAGGTTTTAAGGGACCTCCAGGACAAGTTGGGATTTCTGGTGAAAAAGGAATAATAGGTATGTCAGGAGATAGAGGAATCTCTGGTGTCCCAGGCCAGGATGGTGTGCCAGGAACACCTGGAATCCCTGGAATAGATGGATTACCAGGATTAATAGGTAGATAGTTTTTTATATATATATTGATTCTATATAATTCTTTTTAATATTGGCAGTTGTGTATATTTATATTTGTTTGAGTACAGGTCAGCATTTTTGACATATTTTTGTCTTTAATAAAATATTACTCTATTACAGAGTTTTAAAAATTTATACATTAAGTGTTTCTTACAACATTTAACAACTTAAGGTTTTTATTTTATTTTGGTTTGTTTAGTTTTAGTACAGCAGACTTAGCTAAATGTTATCTTTAATTTTTATAACCATGTGATCAAACTTCAGTGGCACTTGATTGCTAGTAATATTATCACTGATACTGCTGAAGTATCTGTGAATGTGTGAGTATACATACGTCTATGTCAAAAGCAAAATACTGTCACTTGAATGGCACATAAGGCTATTAAGTAAACAATCAGAATACACCGAAACTGTGTATGTGCCAAATAAGTAAAAGCATAGTTTGTATAATCTTGTGATTTTTCTGACTCTACTTATATATGCAAGACACTGTTACTTTTTAAAACTTGTTTATTGTTGCATATACAGAGTATAATATCTATGGTTGTTGTATTTGATGATGCCAGCTTAACCTAGTGAAATGTTGTAACCATAGATATTATGTTCTGTATATCTAACAATAAACAAGTTTTAAGTTTTACATAACAGGGTACTTCCTTTAATTTTTGTTAATTTAATAATGAGAACCAGAAGTAATGAAATTATAAGTTTAATAAAAAATTGTATTTATATTTTTCATTATTATAGTATTCTTTCTGTAAATGTGATGCTATTTTTCCACACTTTTTATACACACCTTTTACTACACTGTACTATAGTAATGTCTGTTAAGTATTTATAATCTTAACAGATTGTTGTATGTGTAGAATTATTTCAAAATTAACTTTCCAGGATAAAATGTAATTCAGGTTATAATCTGTGAAAAATGTATAGGTCACTCATGAGCTTATTGACTTTTCCAGTGTCTGAAATCCTACTTCATTTGAGTTGATATTTGTTTTATTCCTAAGTTTGGTCGCCATCAGTATCTTGTCTCCCCCTCTTGGAGACAGTTAATGAATTATTTATATGAAAACTGGCATACTGGACTCACAGTGTTTTTACCGGAGAATGAAAAATAATGCGTATTCAATTGTGAGGTAACATGAATCATATTTTCTTCATCTCAGGGTGTAGGTAGGGTAATACTTCTTACATTTACATGAACTCACAGGCATGAAACTTTGCTACACCTTTATATATTCATAAAGGACCCAGGTACATTTTTGAATATAATATAAAAAAAAATTCTAATGGTGGTGTTAATGAATAAAACCATCAGTTGTTTGTAGTTTTGAAGAACACCAACAAATTATCTTTGGAAACACATGAAAAATTGTTTATTCAATACTATTTTCATTTGTTCATCAGTTCTACTATTTTCAGCAATCGTTAATATTTTGTAACAGCTATGAATTACCATTGTCTTTGAAGTAAAACACTGTTTATAACATACAAGTTTTAATATATATATATGTACTAATTTCTTTTTAGGGCCTTCACTATTATCTTTTCTTTTGAGCAATTGTCACTTATAAACTTTTCTGTACAAATGAAGTTAGAGGAAGTCCTTTTCATGCTTGAATTATAGTACTCCTTTGCTTATGTGTATGAAGATTTGATTGAAAATGTTTCTAATGTGTTATTAAAAGTTTAAATGCATACCTTGTATATTTTTTTTGTGTTGGGCATGTAGCAAATCTAGGATTTTTGATGCTGTCCCCTCAGCAGAACATTTAAAAATATTATGAAATTATCTTCCATAACTAGTTATATATAAAATATTTAAATGAAAGAAATTTTTAATAATTTGGTAAGCTTGATTCATTATTAAATTTTTAAAATCACAGAATGTCAAATGTTTGTTATAATGATACCTATTATATAAAGCAACAACCAGACGTAGCCAACATATGGATATACTTTGAGAGAGATTGCATACTTTAATGAAGTTTATATATATATATAATATTGTTTTCTCATGCATTATATTCACAATTTGAATATTTTCTTTGTGAGCTGGAAGTGTTTTCTACTATCTGTAGTATGTATCAGTCTAAGACTTTGTAAGCTGTGGACTACAAACGAAGCCATGTTATGAGAAATTATTACATAAAAGTTCTACCCAGTGGCTAAATTGGGATTTTAAAAGAGGTGGAACTATCTTTTATGATCAACTTTTACATTCCATTCAGAAGACCACGTATGCTAATGGCTTGAATCCTGAAGAAGGAGAACCCTGTTCCAGGCCATTCCACCCCAATTTAACCCCTGGTTCCACCTTACTATGATTATTGAAATCTAGACGAATATCTTGAGCTGTTTACTTCACTAATCCTTGGCTCAACTTGTATTTTCTTCATAAAGTATTTTGTACATAACTATCAAAATTGTTTAAACATCCAAAGAGTGGTCTGTTAGGATTTGATGTATCAATTCAACAATGATCAACTAAAACAAGAAATTCCTACTTTTTATGCATAGTCGGTAATTTTGTTATATATATAACTGCAATAAGACAAGTGATATCCATTACAATATGATAAGGAAGTAACAATATCTTAGTGATTTCACACTTTGTTTATAATGTTTGGTTTGATCAGGATGTATTTCAAGTAAGAAAATATTCAGCTTTTGTTTTATTGGAAAGGCATGAGCGGTGAACCTGGAGAACCAGGACCACCAGGAAAATCTGGAATACCTGGACAGCCTGGACTACAGGGAGTACCAGGCTTCAAAGGTCTGTGTAATTGTTGATATAGGAGTCTTATAGTAAAGAAAATATTCTAGCAGTGTATCTAATGTGATTCTCAAATCATTCAGTTTTCACCATTGTATGCACACATTGGTTCATTTTATGTAATAATATTTTGTTCAGATTTGTCAACTGTTTATTTTATCAAGTTGCGTTTAGTTTTAATGTTTTGTTTTTTGTCCTTAAAAAATAAAATACTTAAGTTTATATTATCAATATGTGGGAAATTTATTAATAGGTAATTTGGGTCCACTGTGTCAAATGAGATATTTTTGAGAATTATTAATCAGTATTGTAATCCAAGTATAATATTTTATTCTCTCTATGACAAATTATCATTACATTCTTTCAAGTTCTGAATTTAAGCTAGGTGGTTTGAAACTTACTGTTATATTCAAGTGACATATTTAGTCTATTAGTTATGAAATTTAATTTAAGTGATATAGAAATTTATCAAATTACCATCTTGACATTTTCAATTCATCATTTTCAATAATGTAGCTAAATGGTTTGTGGCATTCTTATGATTTCAATCTGATTCTTGTTATTTGAGCTTGTGTAAGAGATTGTTCTTTATTGTCACTACAAGCTATAAAAGATTTTAAATTTATGTTTCTAGTTTCAGATGAATATATTTTAATGCAATTTTACTGTTAAAATTATTTTTGTAGATAACTTCTATATGCTTTTTTAAACTGATATTAGGAAAGCAAGGAGAGTCGGGGTATGCAGGATATCAAGGACAACAAGGTTTACCAGGATTTAGAGGTGAAGTAGGAGAACCTGGGCCACAAGGACCTGAAGGTCTACCTGGAGAATCTGCATCACTTGGTCAGAAAGGTGATTTTGGAGAACCTGGACTTCTAGGTATGAAAATGTTTTGAAAGAACAATTATCTTTTTTTCTTCTTCTTTAGCATATGAACTTAGGAGGAATTGTTAGTAGAAAATACTGTTACGCCTCCAGTCGTTAATTAAT